AAAAAAAAAAAAAAAAAAAAAATGCAATTTGAAGCATCATATCCATGATGCTTTCTCAACCAAATACCAAATACCGTTAATCTGCAGGAGTTATGTCAAGAATTAGGTCAAGACATCCTCATTGCTGCAAACTCGACAAACGGCATTGAAAACGAGCAGAGACAGGCAGTCGAGACTATGGAAAGACTATCAAGAGACGGGTTCGAGAAGTTAATGATTGAAAATGAATTGGATGCGATGGTGACTTTAAATTGGGATGCCTCAACACTGCTTGCAATTGGAGGATTCCCCGGGATCACGGTGCCAGCTGGCTACGACTCGAACGGAATGCCTTTCGGAATTTGTTTCGGTGGCCTGAAAGGCTCGGAGCCTTTGTTGATCGAGATTGGGTATGCATTTGAGCAAGCTACTCGGGTCCGAAAGCCGCCTTCTTTGAAGTTGGCTGATTTTCTTCATGCAAGCATTTGAAGGTAGTGTTTCAGTGAAGTTTACAAATGGGATGTGTTTTAGTTCCCACGTTGGTTACTATAATTCAGTGTTTAGAGATGTTTCTACTTCTGTAAAATTCAAAATTTTGCTTGTGTAGACAGTGTATTTCACAAACTGCTATGGAGGTGTAATTTGTATCACAAACTGCTGTTGAGGTGTAATTTGTATAAGTACTTATTCTTGAAATCAACTTTGCTTGCATTATAAACTAGAGCGGTTAACAAAAACGAGCCGTTCGTGAGTTCGGTTTAGTTCGTTAAGACTCGAACTCAGCTCTTTAAGGCTAAACCGAGCCGTTCGTGAGTTCGGTTTAGTTCGTTAAGACTCGAACTCAGCTCTTTAAGGCTAAATATGAATTTTATGTAATTTTTTATAGTTCGACTCGTTTTGTTTAAAACTCAAGATTGAACTCGATTATTTTACAGTGACGGTAAGGATTGTTGTAATTCAAGATTTCAATTTTTCAGGTTGATAACGAAAAAATAATTTGTGAAGAGAAAACATAAAATTACCACAAATTAGTTCGTTAAGGTTTGAGCTCGCACTTTAAGACCATAAATGTGAATTTTTATGTAATTTTCATAGTTTGACTTGTTTGTACTCGAGGTTTAAGATTATAATTCAAGATTTCAAATTTTCAGGTTGATAATGAAAAAATAACTTGTGAAGAGAACAAAAAAATTTGTTTGTCCCTTCATCTGAAAAGTGCTTCGACATTTGAAAAGTGCACCAGAAGGTTGCTCAGCAAAACCAACTACACAAAAATTGCACCAAATCGGAAAATTTAAAATAAAATTGAAAATGGAAAAATCGGAGTTCAAAATAGAAGAAGCCACAATAGAGGAAATCCAAGGCGCGTTCACCGCCGGCGAACTCACGGCGAGGCAGCTGGTGGAGTTCTACCTGGACCAGATCGAGAGCCTGAATCCGGTGCTTCGCGGAGTAGTTGAAGTCAACCCCGACGCTCGGAGACTCGCCGACGAGTCCGACCGGGAGAAGGAGGCGAGCAAAAGGACCGGCGTCCGATTGGGCGACCTACACGGCATCCCGGTGCTCCTCAAGGACACAATCGGGACCCACGACGAGCTGAGCACGACAGCGGGATCGTACGCGCTGGTCGGGTCGAAGGTCAGCCGCGACGCCGGCGTGGTGGCTCGGCTCAGGGAATCCGGCGCCGTGATTCTGGGGAAAGCAAGCATGAGCGAGTGGTACAAGTTCCGTTCTCTCGACGGCGTTCGTAACGGCTGGTGTGCTCGCGCCGGTCAAGGAGTGGTTTGTCAATTCCTTCAATTATTTATTTATTTAATTAATTTTCTGCATATAATTTCTGAAAAAAGCTCCGTAGAAATCATAAACTCTGTATTAATTCAGCTTAATGTTAGTTAAATTTGATCTATTATCATCAGACACTCTGTATCATATTCAATTCTGTTTTCAATCTTTGCAGAATCCATATGTATCATCTGGAACACCCTGTGGATCGAGCAGTGGATCGGCTATTTCTGTGGCGGCAAACATGGCCTGTGTGGCCTTAGGGACCGAAACTCACAGCTCCATTATATGCCCTTCGGATCATAACTCGGTTGTGGGCCTCAAACCAACTGTAGGCCTCACGAGTCGAGCTGGGGTCATACCAATGGCGCCCCGTTGGGACACCATTGGGTAAATCCTCATCATATGCTAACAATCCCGTAAAAACATTCAAAATATGTCTTTGTTAGCTAGCAAGTTCATTTGCTTTAATTTGACGTGCGCAATCCGTAAAATCGTGGAGGGGTTGTTTAGTTTTCTTGTGTAGATTATAGTTTTTTTGTTTTTTTTTTTTGAATGAATTGGCTGCAGGCCGATATGCAGGACTGTATCGGATGCAATTTGTGTTCTTGACGTGATAGCAGGTTTTGATCCAAGAGACGAGGCAACGAGTGAGGCAGCTGAGTTTATTCCTGAAGGTGGCTATAAACAGTTTCTTAACGAAAATGGTCTCCAAGGAAAGAGGCTTGGTATTGTCAGATATCCATTTGTCGAGAAAATACAGGATAATGCCGAAGTAGAAGCATTTGAGCGTCATATACATACATTCCGGTATTACTTACAAACTCACTCGTCGAAAATTTCTTCTATGATTCATGAGGAAAGTTGCACAAAATTTCGATGGATGGATCAGAAATGTGAAAGATTCTTGTTTTGGTTGCAATGCTCTTTTTTGGTTAATGTAGGAAAAAAGGTGCACAAGTAATAGACAATCTGAAGATAGATAACATCGACACAATTTTGGAACCCAATCACAGTGGCGAGATCTCGATTATGATGGCGGACTTCAAGTCGTCTATAAATGCTTACCTGAGAGAGCTGGAAAATTCTCCCGTGCACTCTTTGTCGGATATTATCGCTTTCAACGAGCGTAATCCGGACTTGGTATGTGCCGTGTCGAGCTCCATTTGTATCGAGTCCACCTTTTTTATTAGCTAATTGGAGCAAATTCATATTCATAATGTGGATTATTGGAAAATGAAAAACAAAATCAATGACTACAAGCATGATCTCCAACGCATTCTTGATGCTAGGGGTGAGCCAAAACCAAAAAACCGAGCTGACCTGTGCAATTCTGTGCGGTTGGTTCGGTTTTTTTAGTGTGGAATATTTGATTATTTTCGGTTCAGTTTTTATATACTGCAGTGCGATTCAGTTATTATTTTTCACATGTTTTTGGTTTTTCTTTTTTTCTTTTTTTTTTTCGGTAAAACTAAAAATCGAGCCGAATCGTGCAGTTCGGTTTGGTTATTTTGGTGAAAAAAAAAAAAAATTGGCTCGGTTTTTTTCCTATACTGCAGTTTGGTTTGGTTAATTTTTTCGGTTTTGCAGTACGGTGCAAAAGCACCAAACCGCACCATTAATGGTCACCCTTAAATTGATGCACCAACAGGAAAAGCTTACGGATTACGATCAGCACACTTTCATAGCAGCGGACATGACAGACGGGATAGGAGAGCACGAGAAAGCTATACTCGAAAAATTGGATAGTTTTTCAAAAAACGGGTTTGAGAAGTTAATGAAGGAGAATGAGTTGGATGCAATGGTGACACCTGGCCCACGCGCGTGCCCTGTGTTGGCAATCGGAGGCTGCCCGGGAATTACCGTGCCAGCCGGGTATGGGACCAATGGGATGCCGTTCGGAATCTGTTTCGGGGGTTTGAAGGGCAGTGAACCTAAGCTGATCGAAATTTCGTATGCATTCGAGAGAGCTACCAAGGCTCGTCGGCCGCCGTAGGTAAAGTTATGATATATGCTAAAATGTTTGAACAATATTTTTGTAATAAAATTCACTAAAATGTGATATGTCCAGTATATTATTTATAAAAATATTTTATTTGTATATGTGCACGTGCA